TGTCAATCAACGAGTGATATAGTGTTGTGGAAAAAACATATTGACAATTACTTGCAGCAGTTAAATACCAAAAACAAACAAATCACAGGTCTGACGCGTTACAGGTCAGTTGACATTTACCACACAACGACGTCTGTGTATTGAGAGCGTTACAGGCACAGCACAGTCTCGATGTGTTAACACAGAACCTGGCACGGGATGAGAATGACGAAGGGGCACGACTGGCGTGACAGGCTGTCAACAGGCAACAGCAGTTATACAGTACCACAGACACAGTACAGTGTGTCTCCAGTCTGACAAGAAAATAAATGACACTTGGACACTTTGTCATCCAAGTGTCACTTAGGGAGAATGAATTGATCCAGCGTCTGCATACCTTTGTCTTCTAATCCTCTACAGCTGGGGTGACAAACTCAAGTTCACAGTGGGCCAACATTTATAAACTTGGACAAAGTCTCAGGCGAAATAATATTTATTGAAAAATTGACTGGAATTGTTCATGTTTTCCCCGTTCTCTCCAGATCTGTAATGTAGAATTTGTGGAAACAAACTTTAGCTTTGCATAAACATTGAATCTGGAACAACCAAAGCTTAATATTATAAACACATGAGAAATTAAATTTGAAATAAAACACACATCAGTGGTATTTGTTTCTTATTATGTCTCTTTATCTGTTTTATGTCATTTCCAGAACCATTTTTTTTCACAGACCAACAACAAAAAACAACAAAATGTATGTGCTGCTAATACAACAAATCCAGTCAGTATTTAGGGGCTATATACCGGCGGGCCAACTCTAGTACACATTTGATATGTGTATATAATTACACTGCGGGCCACATTTGGCCCCCGGGCCTGAGTTTGGCATGTTAGCTCTACAGGGTTTGGCAGACAACGGCAGCAGTCGCTGGGTCAGGGTGGAAAAGTTGGCAAAGACACTAATACCAACTAATAACTGTATGTATCTATTGATTAATCACGATTAATCATGATTAGTCAACAGGATATAAAATAGAGGCTGGGGCTCTAGTGATGAAAAATTGGCTAAACTCCCACTGTGAGTGCGTGCACTCGGCCTCTGTTGGAGCGCGGCTGCCATAACTCTCTGTCATTACTGAATGTGAATGTTTTCAAGGTCAATTAGTAGAGGCTGATAACATCAGTGATGACTGCAGACTTAACAAAGGTCTTCACTGACAGGGTCATACTCCGTATAACAGCTGACCTTTATGTGGAACTCTGTTGGAATTCCCCTGAGTGTGTGTGTGTGTGTGTGTACGGAAAATGGAAAATGTATATAAAATCAGTAAAAAAAAAAAAAGATCATAACAAAAACATTTGGTATAACAGTAGAAGCTCTATAGTTAAAATAAAACATTTCCCAAAACAATTTATACAAATTAAAAAAAAAAGAAAAAAGATCCTTGTTACAGTAATAAGGGCCGCATTCCAGGTAGAGTCTCAGGATTCTGAGAACCGTACAGAGCAGAGTGTGTGCTTAGGTTCACTAAGACCAGTCCTGGTTAATCTTCCTGCCCTAGTTCACCTTCCTCTCCACAGTAGATCATCCATTATATCCACAGGAGGAAAGCCCCGCAATGAAAAGTACTGAAAAAAACCTGCACCGTATGACAAAGGAGAATCAGACAGCTGCTGCAGAACCGCCCTGGGAGGAATGAAGGGAACAATCCAAGGGACTTTAGGTCCTTTCTGATTGTTTAAACAACAGCAGCATGACAACATATATTGGAATGTTAAAAATACATGTTCCAGTCACAACCACTCCTTCACGAAACTAAAAAAAAAAATCCTAAACCAAATGCAGTAATTAGATTTCTGAATTTTGTACTGACCTTCACGTCCGCTAGTCCTTTGACAGTTAGCTTTTAGCTTTTTGTTTTATTATTGTAACTGGGTTTAAAATAACTTCAAATAAAGGTTTGTAATGGTTTTTGTAATTCCTATCATTTCATTCTGCTTTTCGAACCCCTTTCACTCTCGGCAGTGGTTATGTGGTTAGCGCTCTTGCCTTACAGCAGTTATTAAGACTCTCACATCTCAAGGAATTGCTCGAATCTTAAAAAAAAAAAATCAAACACACAAACCTGTACGAAGGAAAAGGTATACGTGTGCAGTACACAAACATGAATAGAAATAAAAATACCACTTCCCTTCCCCAAACTGCTGCTTTATTAGTACATGTATTCCCCGGTGTGTTACATTGTATAGTGATGTAACGGGGTTTCCGGTACTTGAACTTCCTGTCTCAACTGCACAGCAGATGAGAAGCGACCACTTCCCCGCAGCCGGGTATGAAGTGAAAAAAGCGGCACAACATTTTCAAATTTAAAGTACTTAAAATATTTGTTGGTCTGTAAGATTACTTAAAGCATGTAATATTTATATTTGAAGTTTTTCCTTACTATTTGTGAGGAACTATTAGACGTATGTGTGTGGCTTTGGCCACTAGATGGCAGCAGATGAACAGAAAACCTAACCCCATCAGGCGACGGTAGGGTAGCGCTTGACAGCTCAGAGGACCATTCACAATGATCAATTCAGAGGAAGGTTCAAACATCCGGTTCGGGGACTATTTCCGGCCCGCAAATCCCCCCACATCTGGTCCGTGAATATAAGTCATTAATAATAATAATAATAATAATAATAATAATAATAATAATAATGTTAGGTAGTGGTGATTCCAATAGTGGCTGTTGGGCCACGTGTGACCCAGACACAACCTCCGAGTGGTCCTGCCTGTGGTCATTTGAGTCCTTCAAATGACAGACTGACAGAATGAAACAGCCTGGTAACAATCAACCCACAATGCATCTGCACATGTGTCTAGAAGAGTTGTTCAATTTGTCGCTAACTCTGGGGGAACTGAAAACATCCAGTTGTTACGTTCTTACATCCAAATGTTTTGGTCCAAATCTTCCAGTAACTTAATTTTGATCAGTCACAGGAAATTTTTCTCAGACCTTCACCTGAAACAAACTACAGACGCATAACGACCCCTCTGACTGACGGCCAGGTTGGTTAATGTGTTATCACAACATGTGGTGTGACATAAACCTGGTCCCAGTTGAACTGATATCAACCTGAAGGATTTGGGTTGTCCGTCATTCATTCTGCTCCATGTGCGATAGCGGTGGTGGACTATACCCCAGAGCAGTAACTGAGTACTACATCAGAAGACGTGTACTTCAGACAGATTTCATCTGAGATATTTCCACAGGTGCTGTGGAACTTATGCAAAAAATGTGTCTAACCCAATCACCCGATCTGACCTACAAATGTGGGCCAGGGCTTATCTGTGTAACACTTTGATAGCTTACTTACATACACACATTTACAATAGTACAATTAAGATATATATATACTGTAGTAAATGGGAACAGTGGTGATGGACTTTATATTCATTTGTGTTATGCTGTTTTCTAACTAATAAACAAAGATATTTTTATATATTTTTTAAAAATCGCCTCATGTTGCATAACCCTTGTAACAATATTTTGAGCATACAATTAAAAAGCCTTTTTTTCCCTGTGGTACATAATAAAAACAGCCACTTCAGGGACAACATTTTTTTAAAATCACATTTATTTTGGACACAATACAAAACATCACTCTCATCCTTCCGCTGAGCCACGATTCCCTTCAATTATTGTTTCAAAACAAAAATCAGGGCTGACTCCAAGATGGAAACGGCTAACTGTATCCAACGGCAAAGAAATCCTCAAACTTTCAACTCTTTTATTGTTTTGTTTTGTCTTGTTTTTTTTTTGTGTGTGTTTTTTTTTTTTGCTTTGCTCACGCGAGCAGCCAAGCCGTTGAGTGAGAATGACAAGCAGCATATAACTGGCCCAGATTTGCAGCTAGAAGAACACAGGGAGGCAGAGGCAAAGGTGTACGACATCTGATATGGACCGCAAACTATTTTAAGTCAGTATATAAAAACACCAATTCTTGGGAAAATCCAATGAAGAGTATGAAAAATATAAATAGATCTTCGTCTGTTCAATCAATTCAAACGTTACAAAATAATATACCAGCAATAAGAAATTAAAATCAGTTAATGACCTATGTAACAACGTGTAATACAGTAAAAATATAGAATTTTGGCGTCCAGGTTTCGATACGGAGGAGGAGTTGCTCCTCCTGTGCCCTGTTTTGATGGCATTCACATACCAAACTGTACCTTGTCCTCAAAGTTATGACGATAAACTCTTCACGCTTCACAATAGCCAGGCCAGAAATGCAGTTAATATTGAGGTGACTGACTCGGGTTGACCGATGTGTGGTCGTTTGTTGCCAGTGAGCACACAGGGTAATGTGAAATATCTGAACACATCTGTTTGCAAAGGCATCGTGATGCACAGCAATGTCAAATCCAAACGATTCATACATGATTATTTAGAACAATGAGACCCGATCAAAAAATAATAATTAAAAATTAAAGTACCTGCTGCCACCTGTTAGTGTGTTTCTTACACATGTGACAGTTGCACGATCGACTAGTTAGGCCTAACCTGCACCAGGTGACAGTGAAACTAAGTCTAAAATAGAATACTTCAGTCCTTCAGTACTGTGCAAAAGTCTTAGGTCACCACTCGCTTAAATCACGTTTGTTTTCATATTAGCGTCACAGTTACGGGGGGTTACGATACATTGAAATATCGCAATATTTCCATTTTGATGTTCTACAGCACTGTATCAATTTGGCGTCGGTTCCATGTTTTTTTCATTCAGTACTGTGCAAAAGTCTTAGGTCACCACTCGCTTAAATCACGTTTGTTTTCATATTAGCGTCGCGGTTCCGGGGGAGTGGGGGAGGGATTATGATACATCGAAATATCGCAATTTCAGTTCGATGTTCTACTGCACTGTATCAATTTGGGCTTTTTATCAATCGTTGCCCCTGTATTGTGATACGTATTTGTATCACCAGATTCTTGCCAATTCACACCACTAGCAGCTGTTGCCTACTGGGTAAAGGGCTTTTTATTGAATGGTTGCTGGTTAAAATCCCCAAGCACCAAACATCGCCCTGCTAGTATGTCTGAGGTGGAACAGTTAAAATCTACATAGAACCTTCTACATGACAGAGAGAGGACAAAAAAAAACAAAAACAACTACGGAGCCATTCTGGCCCCCTACAGGGTTAAGAGAGTACTGAAAAATACAGTGCTTGTTTTTATGCTGGGAGTTGGCAGTGGGGCTGAGGTTCGATGGTCGACCTGGAGTCAGGAGTCGACCTTTCTTGTAGCTTTAGCATTTGTTAGCTACTTACTTGGAAAGAAACAAGAGGCTTCTCTGCTGCTCACCTTTTGACTCCTGAAGTATCCTGACTCCACCCACAAATGATAATGAGGGATTAACATTAGAGGTCGCTTCGCCATAATTCATTCCTGCATCAAGTGAAATTAAACGTGAGTGGTGACTCAAGACTTTGTTTTCCACATTATTATTATTACTATTTATACGCTGCTGTTACTGTAGTGTGTGGTGTAAACTATACACTATGTAAAATGTCTCTACAGTCGATTGATGTGTAGCCTACATGACTGACAGTGGGATTAGGACTCAGAACAGAGGCTTCAATCTTTAAAAGCTCAATATAAACTGCCTGTTTCTGGCAAGGCTAGTGGAAGTAGGACTGCAGGGTACCACGGCGGCGGACATCGCTTGTCCAGCAGTGGAAGCCACCACCCAGTGAGTTGGCATGACGAATGCTCACCTTTATGGTCTCGATACCTGTGAGAAGGGAACCCAGAGGGAAACATTGATGCACAATGACACGACATGGAAACCTGAACTTTGACACGTGAACCGTTAAAGAATCTCACCAAGATTCTCAAACATTTTCTGAATGGTGGTTTCCTTCTCTTCAACCATCACACGCTTCTCATCCAACATCAGGACATTCATGGAGAGCCACTTGGAGGACATCCACAGAGGGTGGTCTACACAGTGAAGAGTAGATGTGAGACCAAGACCAAGTAAATATCTGTAGTTAGTTATACCAAAATAACATACTGTAATTCTGAAAAAAAAAAAAAAGAATACAATAAAATTATATAATGCTAACAAAAATAATACCAACAGTCTTGGCCACAAAAATGTTTCTTTCATATGTTCATATTCTTTGGTCATGGTGGCAAATCTTTTTTTGTCCACCACACCAGGCTTTCAACACATCTGTATATCTTGCTGTGCATTTGTGTTTCTTTTCTCACCATCAGGAATCAGAGGTGTTGGAGGTTTCACCACAGTCCAGCCAGCCTTCTTGAACATTTCAATCTGTCACCACAAAAAACAAGACTTCACAACATGTATTTAAAAATGAGCTAAACCTTCAGTGCAGCTGATTGGTTCTCAAACTACGGTACCCAAGCCCCCTCTGGCACGACCACCAACTCTAATGGCATCGAGCTGGATATAAATACTTTTGGACGCGGTACGTGGGGTGAACATGGTGTTGATGCCTGTGGTTCAACACCGGACGTACTGTACCTGGTGACACGGGCGATCAGGGTTTGACAGAACCAGTCCAGGCCCAATGATGTTGAAAGTGGCATCAATGTGCATGGGATTAGGATCCTTGAATGAGATGATGTGGATCTTGTAATCTGGGGCCAGATGGCGACGCATCCATTCAATTCCCATATAATTTGTAACCTGGAGAGAGAAAACAGTAGAGTTACTGTACGTACGTTCTGAAAATGTACTATTTCTTTGTTGTCTACATCAAGTTCAATGTCTCCTACCTGACTCCTCTGGACAAAGATGTCCTTTCCAGCTCGGATAAAATCAGCAGCGTCGAAGCACGGCTCGTGCTCCGTGGTCACAAACTTCCCCTGGGCGGCCAGCTTGTGTCTGTCCTCCACGGTGCGTATGGGATATTTCTGTGTCAGAGGACAGAGAATAATTGACTCTGAATACAGCGTTTATCTCTGGAGGCTTTCTTCTCTAAGCTTATCATCGTAGCATGCATTAGCGGCAGTGAACAGTATAGGGTCAAAGTTCAGGGGTGATTACACAGAGGGTGTGTGTTATCGACAGCCCAGCAGAGGACACGTTCACAGATCCTCGGTCGGGGGCCTCACCTGGTCGTACAGCTCGTCGGCCATGGTCGGTTTGGGAGCTGTGGTCCATTTAGCACCTTTTCTGAAGTATTCCTTGATCAGAGGTCTGTAGGCCCTGTACTCAAAGAAGCGGGATCTCCAGGCCATCGGAGCCTCAATGATCTCATTCCCAACAACCAAGAGGATGTCCCTGGGCATGGCTGAGTACAGGCCTGCAGAAGTAGCACAGAAAATGACAAGACTGAGCCGTCAATCGATTGAACCTCATTCGTTTCTTTATCTTTGAACTTGATTCATTACGATTAATTGCGATTAATCGAATTAAATAGATTAAAATTTGGAATGGATTGACAGCCATAATTAAGACCAGGGATGGGTCAATCTGATATTCAGAATCAGCATCGGTTCGATATCGTTCAAAAGTTCAGGAACAAATAGCGAACAAAACTCCAACTATAACCGGTCCGATCTGATACCTGAGTCTAAATGTTCAACCTAACTTTTTTTGAAAGCGTGCCAACTTTTCCATAAATGGGGTTTTCACTTGCGCTTTGTGTTTACTAATCAACAACTAACTTAAATACTTCAAACCCAGTGGAGTAACAGGGTTGTGAAGGATTCAGTGATAATGAAGCTAATACTCATTTACCAGTAGATGTGAAGTCGGGAGTCTTGTACTCCATAGACCAGTCGATGGGCTCCGGCCTCCGCACGCTGACGCCCTCATGACGGAGGATATTGCACATTTCTTCAACCTCAGCAACAGCTTTTTTTAAGTGGTCCACAGGAAAAGACTGGCCCCCGTACTTCTGGAAGAAGGGCCAGTTCGTCTCATAGGTGTTGGCCTGCAAGGAACCTCAAGGTCAGCCCCAACGTTCCACGCAGGAAGTGAAAATTTAGAACATGGTAAACTACCTCTTCTCAAATTACAGGTCCTAAAGTCTAAATTCTGACTGTTTCCATGTTGATCTGCGAATAAATCAAGAACCAAACCATAAAATGTTTCTTTTTTTCTAAGGATTTTGATTTCAATATTCTACCTGTTTAGTACGAATTCTGACTTTTCTTCGTAGGAATTCTATATATTTTCTGCCCTAAAACTACAAATTTTTTTTCTCTTTTTAGAAATTTCAACAGCTTTTTTTAAGTGGTCCACAGGAAAAGACTGGCCCCCGTACTTCTGGAAGAAGGGCCAGTTCGTCTCATAGGTGTTGGCCTGCAAGGAACCTCAAGGTCAGCCCCAACGTTCCACGCAGGAAGTGAAAATTTAGAACATGGTAAACTACCTCTTCTCAAATTACAGGTCCTAAAGTCTAAATTCTGACTGTTTCCATGTTGATCTGCGAATAAATCAAGAACCAAACCATAAAATGTTTCTTTTTTTCTAAGGATTTTGATTTCAATATTCTATCTGTTTAGTATGAATTCTGACTTTTCTTCGTAGGAATTCTATATATTTTCTGCCCTAAAACTACAAATTTTTTTTCTCTTTTTAGAAATTTTACTCGTGAAAAAGTGAAAAAAAAAAAATCAGACTTCAAAGTATTTGCACATTTTACTATTAAACTGCGTACATTCCTACTGCAGTGGCCTGTGATTACACCGTGACGATGTCACAGTTCGGCTTACTTTCACTTCCACCGTGAAGGGAGGCACGTGGGCATCTTCAGCACGACCCACGATCACCTCCTCCAGAGGGTCCCATTCATTGTAGCAGCAGACCGGGCACTCATCCTGCTGCACGGCCCCAGTAACACGTTCCTCTTCAACTGCAGCTGCAGCACTTGATGTGCTCTGGGACAGCCTCTGCACCCAGCCGGTCACTGCCCGGCCAAGCTGGGTATGGAACAAAACAGAAAAAAAAAAAGAAAAAGCTTTTTAATAATAAAAAACATTTAAAATAACATTTAAAAATAATAAAAAACATTTAAAATAACATTTTTAAAAAAAAAAATATATTAATTGATTTATTTATGTGATGCATCTGTAAGCGGAGTTTTAGGTCAAGCACATTAACCTTTGACATGAATAAAACGGTAATGTAGTGTTGGCCTGGTGCCGAAGTTCACGTGTTGTGAAGGAGGAGTCGTATCTCCTCAGATTAGGGTTGGCGGTTTGACTCCTGCTGGCTCAGGAGCAGCTCCAGTGTCACCGAGTTTGCGAGCGCATCTGTGCCAAACAGCTGTTCACCGTCACTCACGGAGTGGCCCCCAGAGGGCAGCGGGGTGGGCGGGAGAGGCGGTTCAAAGAATAAATCAAATAAATCAACAAATCTGTTTGAATGAGAATCAGTAGCAGCAACAGGACGTGTCAAAGATTCTCCTTTTCGCCTCAGGGTTTTCCACCGCAGCTCTGTTTGCAAAAGACCCGCGTCTGCTGCGCTCCATATATGGATTCTACGCGCACGGGACTTTGGGGGGAGGAGGGGCTCCATGTGCTTTAATCGCAAAAAAAAAAAAAAAAAAAGAAAAAGAAAGAAAAGACAAATAAATGAAAAAAAGTAAAAAAAAACCACTGCAATACCAACCATGGCTCCAATCAGATGGGCAGCCTCGGCCCCTCTGCTACCTCCTCTCAGACACCTGACTCGCAGCATTGTCCAAAGTTTGAGTGGGTGAAATGACGCGACGCAAGATCCACGGATCACTTGGCTTAAGAATGAAGACGCCCCTAGTTCTGCAGCCGGCTTTATAGCAGCAGGTGGACGTGCCTTTGAGACTATTGGTCGTCTTCGTGTTGTGGGTTGTGAGGCAACGTGACTTGAGAAAAAAGCTATTCTGAAACCCAATCCCCTGCGCCAGCAAATTCTTATCAGCCCGGCTGCCGATTTGAAAAGGTTTCCGGGGAGAAGTGAGTGAAAAAGTGTCAGGCTGGTGCCACTGTGCAGAGGGGGCTCGATGGACTGCTGCACTGTGTGCTCGAAATGTTAAGTACATGTGTGCAAATATAAAAGCAAGAAGCAATCACAGTAGTTTCCATGTCGGTGCTCGAAGAATATTTACACAGAGTTCTTCTTAGAACTGAAAGGAAAAATCCTATTTTATGCTCAGATGTTTTGAGTTTCTTTCTCTGAATATATTAATTGATTTATTTATGTGATGCATCTGTAAGCGGAGTTTTAGGTCAAGCACATTAACCTTTGACATGAATAAAACGGTAATGTAGTGTTGGCCTGGTGCCGAAGTTCACGTGTTGTGAAGGAGGAGTCGTATCTCCTCAGATTAGGGTTGGCGGTTTGACTCCTGCTGGCTCAGGAGCAGCTCCAGTGTCACCGAGTTTGCGAGCGCATCTGTGCCAAACAGCTGTTCACCGTCACTCACGGAGTGGCCCCCAGAGGGCAGCGGGGTGGGCGGGAGAGGCGGTTCAAAGAATAAATCAAATAAATCAACAAATCTGTTTGAATGAGAATCAGTAGCAGCAACAGGACGTGTCAAAGATTCTCCTTTTCGCCTCAGGGTTTTCCACCGCAGCTCTGTTTGCAAAAGACCCGCGTCTGCTGCGCTCCATATATGGATTCTACGCGCACGGGACTTTGGGGGGAGGAGGGGCTCCATGTGCTTTAATCGCAAAAAAAAAAAAAGAAAAAGAAAAAGAAAGAAAAGACAAATAAATGAAAAAAAGTAAAAAAAAACCACTGCAATACCAACCATGGCTCCAATCAGATGGGCAGCCTCGGCCCCTCTGCTACCTCCTCTCAGACACCTGACTCGCAGCATTGTCCAAAGTTTGAGTGGGTGAAATGACGCGACGCAAGATCCACGGATCACTTGGCTTAAGAATGAAGACGCCCCTAGTTCTGCAGCCGGCTTTATAGCAGCAGGTGGACGTGCCTTTGAGACTATTGGTCGTCTTCGTGTTGTGGGTTGTGAGGCAACGTGACTTGAGAAAAAAGCTATTCTGAAACCCAATCCCCTGCGCCAGCAAATTCTTATCAGCCCGGCTGCCGATTTGAAAAGGTTTCCGGGGAGAAGTGAGTGAAAAAGTGTCAGGCTGGTGCCACTGTGCAGAGGGGGTTCGATGGACTGCTGCACTGTGTGCTCGAAATGTTAAGTACATGTGTGCAAATATAAAAGCAAGAAGCAATCACAGTAGTTTCCATGTCGGTGCTCGGAGAATATTTACACAGAGTTCTTCTTAGAACTGAAAGGAAAAATCCTATTTTATGCTCAGATGTTTTGAGTTTCTTTCTCTGAATATGACAGTGTTGTTCTTTTTATTATTTTTGCATATGTAACTGATTGGACATATGTACAACTATTTTATAGAATATTATAATTAAAGTGTTGTTCTTTTTTGAGTTGTTCATAAAAATAAAATAACATGTTTAGAGGGAAATCCGAGTTCAGATTCATGACAAATCTTTGTAGCGAGAAATGCTATAGCTATTCTATGAAATCTTGGTTCTTGTACAGAGAACAGATGGGAAGTAAAACAAACAATAAAACAAACAAACAAACAAAAATACTGTGAATACTTTAACGACAGCTATGGCTGTGGAGAATCTGAGAGGTTGGTTGTGACTAAAGGCAGAATAAACTGAAAACTGGAACAACACATGAGGCTGTAGTGTCTACACAGAGTAACCACAGAGCCAGCTACTGTCTCCTCGCAGCTGCAACCTGCGGCCTTGAAGAAAACTGTGGCAAAAAACTCTGGGACAGAAGTATTGAAAATATAAGATACATTTCGAGGACGATTGACAATCAAGCAGGTGGTTCCTCTGGGACTCTCTGCTCTCTGTTTCCGAGGCAGGCGCGCTAACCGCTGCACCATGGAACCGACAGGTAAAGGGGGGACCCCGGTTTTTACCACTTCCTCAACCTATGGCTTTTTTTTGGCACAAAAAAGTCCTGTTCTGTCAATCCGACGTATGGCTTTGTTGACAATCGCCGGTCGTTCGCCATAAATTGGATTGTGCTCCATTCGCATTCTTCGTTTGTGTTGTTATTTTTAGGGGGAACTATTTGCCCTTCATTATGGCTCTGATGTATGAGTTCTGACACTGGGGATTTCAAACGTATTTATTTTCTAAACCTCTATATATTCTACAATGTATACATACAGTATATATATTCTCATATATGTATATAAATATTTATCTATACAAATAAAGTTCCTTCAAGTTTTGAGATAAAACCTGTGAGTGTGTCAACATGGGGCCGGGGGCTTGACTATAGTCCTGTATACTAAGGGCGGGGGATGCAGCAGAAAAAGTCTGGTCAACTCTGCCCTACTCCAACAACGTTGCCACGGATGAACAGACCAATGAACACAGAGGAAGGATATGTGCTAGAAATAAAAGAATGAAACAAACAATCAACAGCTACTAAACTCCAGCAAAGTTTACAACACAGAGGAAGGATATGTGCTAGAAATAAAAGAATGAAACAAACAATCAACAGCTACTAAACTCCAGCAAAGTTTATAAGTGAAAATAAAATGATCAGGTGATTAGATTAGGCTAAATCTTAGACCATGCTCACACAACCAAAAAGAATGAATCCCTGACAAAGTTTTTTAGAATTCATAAAGACAACGGAGGAAGTGCCAGAGCGGAGGAACTCTTCTAAATATGTCCAGACTGCACTGCAACTCAACACTTAGGTCTGTGAGTGAATTCGTGTCACTGCACACGTCGCCATTCTTGCTTACGCAACTGTTTTGAACGTGAGGTAACGCAGTCCCATTATCAGTCTGGTGTGGACGCCGTTTGTCAGAGAGTTTGTCAGAGAGGGGAAAAGAAAAAACACAGAGGAAAAACAGAGCCTGAGTGGTCAGTGGTCAGTGTCCGTCTTACGTGGAGCCGTGAGCACATTCTTCACTGAACTCTGCTCACCACAGTTTCACAACCAGAGACCCTCAGTAACCCCTGATATTACCCTGCTCTCTAAAAGAGGCTTGGGCAACTGCCCAGGGTTCAAAGGAGACGCACAGAGGACGCCTCGAGCTCTCAGCATCTTTTTACTACAGGCCGGCAGTCTTTTACACTTTTACTACATTCATGGTGCTATATTGGTAGAACGTGCAGGAATTTCCATAACATAACCCAGTCATTCAAGTAACAGGATCCTATGGTATTGGTTTCATATTTTCCTTGAATATATTTCAATGTCAGTGTGATGTAAAAGTGCTGATGAATTTTTATTTTCAGATAACAATAATGCATGATTAAAAAGGGGACATTTTTTTCACATTGGCCCTTGATACGGTGTTCGCTGCACAGCACTAACAGTTACGCTCCCCAGGATCGACTACCGTATTAACTAATATGGTGGTCGACAAAGGAGCAACGCCATGTTTCAAATAACAGTATTTGGGAGTTCTAAAACAGTAGATTTTGCATATAAATTTGGGCTTCTCACGTGGGTGAGAGTCCTTTAGGCCCGACTTCAGACTCAAATAGTTGGAGGAGTGCTATCATTCATTAGATTGGAGCAGGCTTGAATTGATCTGAAACACAGAGCAAACACAGAAGTGCATATGAAAAAACACACATCCCTGAAGTATTTAAATGTACTAACAGCCTGAGGAAAAGCTGCAGGTCGCGGGGGCAGCAGTCTCCATGACCACCACCCAAATCGCACTGCACCGTACCAACCCCTCTGAACCTTCCTGCGGGTGGTGAGTCCACTGGAAGGTACCAGGAGGTGAACCCTGGGGTTCCACACCAGTGACACAGACATTGCCTCTGGGCCAAAGCGCCACTAGGCTTCTACCATCTTGAATATTTCCTACGTTTAAATCAAATGTAAAAAGACACAGCTCTTTAGCTCAACAGACAGTTTTATCACCAGAGTGTCTGTCCTTGGGTCTTGTGACCTGACAAACTCTGTTATCTTCAGTTGGAGCATATGTTTTTTGCAGTGTTTGTCAGTTGTGACTATCTTCAGACATTGAAACTCTATAAGACTGGAAACAAGTCCTTAAATGGAAGAAAAAACAGTTAACCTTGAAGAGAGAAGAGAAAAGTGTCTTTTGTGGACTATTGTTAAACGCCTTCTGGTTTTAATTTACTAACTCTGTGTAAAACCAGGCCTATTTAGTTGAACAAAATACTGCTATATTCACAGGAATTAAAGAAAGACACACAAGGATCTTCTTTAACTAAAAACACGAGTCCTTTCCATGAGTCTATACTGTTCCTGTAACCTGTGTATTTCCCCGCTGTGGATTCAGTAAAGACTAATTGTACTCGTTTTATACCTTCCCCTTCCTTTGGGAACCACAGGACTGTATCAAAGAGGAACACCATCGGTTTTTAACCCCAGATCCAGGAGCACCAACCTCTCCTCCAGCTCAGCTCACAATGAAATCAGTGTTTGACTACGTAAACTTGGTTAAAAATACATGTAATTTGGTTTATGCAGCTGCTCGAAGCAGCGCCTGCGAAGAGCTGTTGCTCAATGTCGGCTCCCTCTGTGTGCTGCTATAAAGCTGTGAAGGATTTTGCAGCTGGTCAAACAGATGATGCTGTGAGGTCAGTGGTCAAATGACCGTTCCCACCTGCAGCACAAAGCAGCGAGAAAAGTTAGAAGAGGACACAGTTAACACATTTTACTGCAATTGTGAGTCTCATAAAGGTGAACGGCCTTTTCACGTTGACTCCGGAGTCCAAGAAACCTCAAACTAAACCACAGGAAGTGGCTCTTCCTCCATAGAGCTGAGCTTATCAATGAGGTTAGACTAACGCACTGACCCAGACCTGAGGCACTGGGTTCACATAGTCTTCAGATTAAACAATCTTTATTCTGTTTACATTTAAAAATGAACAATATGCTTCGTAGCTCAAAAAGGTTGGGAAACACTGGGATTATTAGATTATCCACTGAGTCCAATAGTTTTTTGTGAAGTACCCAAAATCACATCCACATTGAAGATCACAAACATATGAAGTGACGATACTTCAAAATCTAGTCATCTAGTCAATAATCCAGAGCAGATGGTAATCGGGTCATAACGCAGGTCGGACAGGGAGGTTTCCGTTTTTCCAATCGATTTTTTTTCCTATAGACACAGCCACGCCCACTCAGTCACGTCTCTGACGTCATCCAACAACGGTTCCTGAGTTCTGCGTGTTTTCCCTCACTTTGCGGCAGAAAACATCATGATTTTGTACATTATCTCTGCGCTTTTAGCGAGTCTTCTCGTCCTGCCGTTCACGCTGAGAAGATCTTGCCTTTACCTGTGGGCGGATGTGCGGTACGCTACGAACATGCTGCGCACTTCGTTAACGATGCTGTCCTGGTACAGGAGGAAACCCCTCCGGTTCTTAGTGGTGGATCGTTTCTTGGAGCTGCGCATCCAAACAAACCGTTCATTGTGTTCGAGGGAGAAACTTTCTCCTTCAACCAGACCGCCGGGCTGGGCAGCAGAGTGGCCAACGATCTGCAGGCTCAGCCCGGCCACAGAGCTGGAGACACGGTGGCACTTCTCATGGGTCACGAACCTGGCTGACTCTGGCTGGACTGGGCTCAGCCCGGCCACAGAGCTGGAGACACATGGGTCACGAACCTGGCTGGCTCTGGCTGGACTGGACTCTCCAGTGGCTTTCATCAACCACAACATCCGCAGCAAGGCTCTGCTGAACTGCCTCATCTGTGTCGAGGCTCGGGTGTTGACAGCAGCCGCAGGTACTGATGCATGTAAAGAAGGAATGACTCAAACCATGTATACAAGAAATGCTGACAGTTTTTCCAGCTGGACGTGAATTCCAGAACCAGAGGAACAATTTTTGACAGGTAGATTTTCACTATTTGTTTGGAAGTGGGCAAACACAGGAGGGTACGGTGTGGATTTTATAATTAGTTAATGAATTCAATGATGAATTAGAGCAGTAATACAGTAAATAGAGCAGTAGTACAGTAGATTTAGGCTCCCCAACCCCTGGTCCACTGTACAACCTAGTGGTGTTAAAGTTAAAGTTTCTGGGTCAGATTAGCAAATCAATTTATACATATTTTATTTGACCTGTTTTAATGAGTTGGCATGGGCACCTAGTGTTCACTGCAGTGCACGGCGGTCGCCATGCTAACTATCATACAACTCTGAACAGCTGCACACACAGAGTGCTGACTCAAGTTCACCATAATTGTCCATATATCTCGTATTCCTTTCCACAGCTGGCATACCAAAAGAGAAAATAATCTGAATCTGTGTAAGAGATGCTCGGTGTGAGATGACGTCTGTCTCGGCGCTGTATCTCCAATCTAATAAAGTCAGGAGGCTTCCTATAATTTGTGCCTACATGTATGGCCATTCAGAGTATCTGATGGCATCACATGAAGTGCAGGGTCAATTTACCATCTGACTCCACACCAGCCAGAGCAGGTGATTCATCTGTATCTGGTCACCTCTAGGAATAGAAGCTGGCATGTTCCCAGGATGACCATATCAAGTAACTTGGCCAGTAGATCTCCTTGTACTAGTATATGACTCATATATGGACTCATTCATCACAGTCAAGTTCCTTTACAGCATTTATATCATAGGCATGTTTGGATTTGTTAACAATTGTCGACCTGTCGATCATTTCTGAGTCTAACCCTCAGCAGTGTCTTAATTGATGCCTCTCTTTGTATTATTAAGCACATGAAAATCAGTTCAACGCAGAAAAGTTGCAAAACTGTTGATATTTTGTCATTTTTTGTGGTATGAAACCATAGAGAGAAAATGACAAAGACCATAAAGTCAGAAAGGCCTTTGGAAACGGCATCAGAGCCGACGTCTGGACAGAGTTTCTCAGAGTTTCTGTCTTCGGTGACATCAGGGTCCAAGAGTTATACGCCTCTACTGAATCATTCGTGGTTTTCCAGAACTACACCAGGAAAATCGGAGCGATAGCACGTGAAAACGTTTTGATTAAGGTAAGTAAAGCAGTTTTCTTCTGCTCAGCTTCACTCTGACTTTATCCGAGATTCCAGTGGCATCTGGTGGGTCATGTGGACCAGCTTTTGATTTATGCAGAGGACCATAAAATGTAACCGAAGACCAAGGAAGAGCTTTTCAGATAATTTAGTGTTGGTGTTCTTTTGAAGGCACATACAGTACTGGTCCCTCGGTGAAAAATGAACTGTTGCTTTATTTTTGACTTAACGATAAACTCAAGACTAATCTGTGCATCATTGAGTTACAGCTCAGTACATTTGATTAGAAGAGTTCTATATAAATCAGATTGGATCCAAATAAATTAGATCAGATTCAATTCAAGTAAATAAGGTTAGATTAGATTAGTTGTAAATAAATGAGATTAGCCCCAAATAGATTACCGGTAGATACGTTTGGGTTAGAACAAGCATTTTATATTAGATTTGATCCAAATAGTTTAGGTGAGATTAGATTAGATTAGAATCGATTTGATTACAAAGGAATTAGATTAAATTAAATCCCAAAAATTTAGGTTAGATTTTATCCTTATAAATTACATTTTAATCTAAATAAGTTAAATATATTCCAGGCAGTTTAAGGTATCAGTGTCATCTTATGAGACCTGGTCCCAGATTTCCTCTTTAGAAGCTGTTTCCTTACACTCTCATCAAGTCTGACACAGAGCGAGACGAACCAGTCACTCTGCATTAAATCACCCACAGGTAATATGTCATATAAAATAATACAATTATTAAATAGTAGAATTAAAATTAATACGATTTGTTCTACGGTGGAAGTCAGAGATATTTGCAAATATAATTAAGAAGATTTCTGTTAGATGTAATTTAATGTAATTACTTTTTTAAAATGTTATCATTGTCATTTGACATTATTATACTGTTTGTGTGTAACTGTGTAACTGTGACTCCTGTTTCCTAGGATTCAAAAGACTGTGTCTCATTGTGGTCCAGACATTAAGGTGGATTTGTCAGTGATGTCAGTGAATCTGTCTTTCAGCTGAAACAGGGCTGCTGGTGTGTAAGATCACAGACATCGCTCCCTTTCTAGGCTACGCCCACAACAAGGAACAAACAGGGAAGAAAAAACTCCGTAACGTCCTAAAAAAAGATCTTTACTACAACACTGGAGACCTGATGAGGATCGACACCTTCAGGTACAGAGCTGCCATGCACCACCGTTACATTATAACAGTGATTCCCAACCACTAGTGCCGCGGGAAATGATTCAATTTCACCTAATTGGTTATAAACTATTATTTATTTATTACATATAATTTTTCTTTGCTCGTCATGGCAAGCATGAAAGGCAGAACAATTAAATCCTCTTCTGCTAGGTGGCAGCAGATAGCTATGAAAACTAAAAAAAGATAATCAGAGCTGTTGAAGATATATATATATCTTCATATATCTATACATATATATTTATTCGCAACAGCAAAAAGAAAAAGTTCCAAAAAGCAATACTAAATTCCTCATAATTTACCTACTTTGGTCAAAGTGAAACCTGGGCCTCTTGAACAAGACGGTGGTGTACTTTCTAGAGAGCTGCTGCCTCCTTGTGGAAAAGTTTTGAATTGTTCTAAAAAAACATTTTCTTATTATTATTTGCACTCATAAAGGTTTGACCAATTAAGTTAATTGTTGCTATGTATGGTAAAGGCTGTATTTTCACTGTGATATACATTATAATAATTAGAAAATGAAATGAGCATATTTTGTGATATAAAAAGCAATGTTTGCATTTATAATAATTTTGTTCTGAAAACTTGCTTTGTTTAGTGGCCGAATTAAAAGGAAAACTCTGTAAAAATCTGTACTCTATAGTAGTGATTCTTAACCATAGGGCCGTGATCCAAACATGGACTGCCAACGCCACCTAGAGGGCTTAAAAAAACTTTCAGAAAAGAAGGGGGGGAGGGGGGTCAAGAGCTGATAAATGGAGCATTGGTGTGACGTAAAAGTCATGCATAAAGGCTAAAATAAGTTCCCACACCATCTATTGGGGAAACGTGGGTATTGCAGGGAAAAGGCAGAAGTATAATGATAATATAAACATATTATATAATTTGGAAAAGTTTGGTGGGTCGGATTAAGAACAGGAACCGGCCACATCCGGCCCCTGGGCCTTAGTTTGCCCATGCCTGTGTAACCTGTTGTTTCAGGTGTAAATTTAGTTACTAAGCCAATTTTGTGATTTTTGTTTTCTATTCCAGCACTTGAACGCATCAAAGAGTAGTAGAACATCAGCAGGATCTCATCCCAAACAGAAACTCTGGGTTTTTCTAGATCGCTTTTCAGGAAGCACGAAATAGAGGTAGGTAGAAGTAGTTCTCCCTTAATTACACACCATGCATATTGAAATACCTGCAGATAATCTGAATTTTTTTTTCAAATATCACCTGCAGCAGAAGACAGTTTTTATCTGCTTGTATTTGTTTTGTTTTAATTTCATTTATTTGCTTTGCTAAGTTTTTGGCAGCAGAGAAGCAAGGCAGAGGTTCTGTCCCTGTTACTTTTAGTTGTGCAATGCACTCGGGATTGGCTCAGGTTAAAGGCTGTCCTCACTGGTGAAAAACACATACAGATACACGGTGTAATACCAAAAGGGAGGGGTCTATTCAGCCACAAAGTAATTCAGAACACAAGCTGCGCGAAGAACACGGAGTACTGCAAGTTATTTGTATAAAACATTGTAGGTTTCCACAGATCCTTACCGTCAAAATCACTGAGTCTGTTTGGAATCACTACACACTGTATGAGAATTGCTTTCAGGCAGTCTGCGTGCACAGACCTGTTGTCGGTTATCATACACTCTGTTGACTTTCTTTAAAAGCTAGGAAATGATCACAGCTAATATTAGAGTTGATATAGATTTTTTTTTGTATTCATTTACTCACTGGTAGAAATATATTATAAACATTTTATTTTGTAAAATAAACCCTCAAGCAGTATAACAGCAGTGTAACATAAAAAAATATTCAGCAGATTCATTTATTTATGAATCATAGGTTTTTTAAGCATTCTACGCTGCAGCTCCAGACTTTGTCTTTAAAAGAATAAAGCAGCTTAAACAGCCTGGTCCTTTTAATGACACACTTGAGCTGAGCTGAATAAGGGGGAGTGTGCAGGGTTTATTCAAGGAAACAAAGTCCACATAAGTTCGTACGGGCGGAGCGGTCACCATCAGTCAGGTCTTATCAGTGTTCGAAAGTCACTTGCATGTGGTTTACACAACTATAAAATGAAATAAAACACACGCACTAAGTATAACGGACCAAACACGGGCACTTTGATCCAATCACAAAAACCAAAGCAAAGTGTTATGAAAAAAGATGCTGGTTATGCTCTGTGTGTGCTGTTGAGAGAAGCCTGGTGCATTTATGTAGAGCAGAGGTTATCTAATGGCGGTTTGCGACCTCTACGGGTCAGCGGAGGTACTGCGGGGAAGGTTTGAGGAATTTTGGGGTTTATCTGGCATTGCTGGTGTATATTTTGTTTTATATATTTAAAAAAATAAAAAATAAAGTGAGATCAATCTCAATTAATCAATGAAGACACAGTCAACTACAGATTAGAACACACCGCAGCACAAAAGATTTTCATCATTAAAAGACAATTTACCACGACTGTCGTTAAACACTTTATTTTGTCTGTAATTAATTAAAAAATATGGAGTTAAAGTCTTAAGCCTGAATATGAATGATGAAACATTAATTTCTGAATTAGCCGTATAGCTTAGCATCGCATACAAGTAACAAAGTATGCACATACTGTAGATGGCACTTGGGTTTATATATGTATGTATGTATATATATATGTAAATATATGTAAGTTATAGAAGAACGTCGTTGTTGACTCTTGTTGAATGTCAGGAACACAAACTTCCCTCCGTGGTGCTACAGGCTAATAAAGTATTTTAATGTTTGTATAAAAATGCGTTTTTTATGACCTATAATTAGGTTATACAACTATAAAATTTCAAGTGCAAAGTTCTAAAAGTAATAAACCCCGTAAACTACTCCGGGCAAATAGAGAAAAACTTACATTTGAGCTGAAACTGTTTTCCCTCCCACTCAACGTCTCCTATTTCACTTACCAATTACGAACGGGGCACAAAGTTCACCAGGCGTTTCTGTGGACACATCCAGCTACGACGGTTGTCCACGAAGAAGAAGACGACGACGTTTCTCCGACCAACACCGACCCGGTCTCCGTCATGACGTCCTACCTGCTTTACTCCTTGTTCACGGCCTTGGCAGTGTTGCCTTTGCTACTTTACAAGAGAAACCGCTACTTTTTCACGGATCTTTGTTACGCCGTGAAGCTGCTGAAAGTGGGCCAGAGAATGAGAAAGTACACGCAGCACAAACAGCTCCACAGCATCCTGGACTGTTTTCTGGACCACGTTAGAAAGCAGCCGAACAAAACGTTCATTGTTTTCGAGGACCGCTCGTACACGTACAGTCAAGTGGACCGAGAGAGTAACCGAGTGGCCAGAGCTCTGCAGACCCACGCCGGGCTCCAGCAGGGGGACACCGTGGCTCTGTTCTGTGGGAACGAAGCCCACTTCGTCTGGACCTGGCTGGGTCTGTTCAAACTGGGCTGCGTTGTGTCTCTGCTCAACACCAACATTCGCTCCAAGTCTCTGCTGCACTGTTTCTCCTGCTGCGGAGCCAAAGTCCTGGTCGTCGCCGAGGGTAAATCTCTGTTCTTGTTTTTTCTTAAAACAAACGTCAAGCTTTGAAAAAAAAAAAAAGGATATGCAAATTAATTTCATTAGCTGACAGTGACAGCAGGCTGATGTGATGCTTCTCTGAATAATAAAAGCAGAAAACGGTTTCATTGGAAAATAAAATAAAAAGAAGACAAACGCTTTTCAAAATAAGAGTTCAAAATGCTTTTTTCCCCCTCATACCAAGGCGTTGGTTCTAAAGCGTTTCACACCGCGTTATTACCTCTAAAATATTCGTCCCTGTGAGCAGCACCAGTACAAGTCATGAAATATTAATGTAACTACATACACTGGTTGAAAACTTGTAGTTTATTTTAGATAAGTTAATTATTTAACCTATTTATCAGCCATACCATAAAAAAGGCAACACAGGAACAGACAATTAAAATTAAAATTATCTTTACTTAAATTAATACTAAAATGGCTACGGTTATGGTTGACCTCCTACCAAGTCAAAGAGGAGACTGGAATAAACACAAAATATCTTTACAGTGACTAAATAATGTTGAGTTAACATTGACTAAAATACTGTAAAGTGAATCTGAATAAATATGTCTAAAAAAAAGAAACAATTGCAGTGACTTAATGAATAAATATAAGATTAAAATTGCTGTGACCAAAATGAATTAATTAACAAAAAAATCAAAATAAAGATTTATTTTATTTTTATGGTCTGTATTGTCATTGTACCACAAGTATACAATAAAACCGAGCCTCTGCTTTTTACCCATCACCAAGGGGAGCAGTGGGCAGCTTCTAAATGTGAGTGTTATTTTTATCAACAAGTAGTAAAGTAAACTTGTAAATAAGAGGACGTTGTGTTTTTTTTGTGTGTGTGTCTGTGTCAGATTTACGGGGCGCTGTAGAAGAAATCTTGGTCAACTTACAAGAGCAGGGAGTCCGTGTGTTCATTCTCAGTGACAAAGGTGAAGTGGAGGGCATGGAGACTCTGTGTGATAAAATCCAGCAGGCCTCAGACCAGCCACTGTCTCCTGAGCTGAGGGCCAACCTCAACATGAAGAGTCCTGCGCTCTACATCTACACCTCAGGAACCACAGGTAACCTGCCCTTCCCTGTCACCGAAGAATGGTGAAACGTTATGATTGGTGTGCTCACATGTCTGTGTGTGTGTGTGTGTGTCGCAGGCCTTCCCAAAGCAGCTATAATCAACCATGAGAAACTGTTGGCCCCGTGTTTTATGCTGGCCATAGCTGGTGTACGCTCTGATGACATCATCTACGTTTACCTGCCCTTGTACCACAGCTCAGGATTCCTGATAGGCCTGTGTGGAGCCATAGATAAAGGTGATGCACGATTGTTTTTGAAGGAACCGTGACTGCGCTCTGAAAATAAGTATCGTCATTTTCCATACTGAGATCATGTTTGATTAACATTTTTTTTACAGATAGGACTATACAACGCTTCCCCGATGTCTAAACATTCACAGCTGTGGATTTTATATTTCAATGAACTTTATTTAGATTGCTGTATTTGGGATAAAACTGCTATTCTCATTGAACAAAGGACATTTAAATTAGTGGTTAAAATGATCTGTTCTGAACCCACCTTGCAATAGTTCTGTGAACACAGAACCCAGACACTGTGCTCTTTTGGGATAACGTTAGACTAAAAAAACAAATGCTATATGCTATGCTATAATTACAACCGTGTCTTCTGTTCGCCAGGCATCACTGTTGTCCTAAGACGGAAATTTTCTGCTTCTAACTTCTGGAACGACTGCAGGAAGAACAACGTGACGGTCGTTCAGTACATAGGAGAGGTTATGCGCTACCTCTGCAACACACCAAAGGTAAACTCTGGTCCATGGACCACATGATGTGTCTAACAAGACGCTGACGACCGTGACCGGCTAAACATCCTCAATCATAGCACTGAAAGATGATTTGATGTCACTCTAGAAAGACAACGACAAGGATCATAAAGTGCGATTGGCTGTCGGAAACGGAATCAGAGCCGACACCTGGTCGGATTTCCTGCAGCGATTTGGAAATATTAGAATCTGTGAATGCTACGGTGCAACAGAGGGCAATATCGGTTTTGTCAACTACGTAGGGAAAATTGGAGCCATTGGTAAAGAGCATTTTCTACAGAAGGTAGTGTATGAGTGTGAATGGCTGTGACTCTGTGTCTATACATACTGTATGTGGCCCACTGTCTCAATATGTGGCCCACTGTCTCAATATGTCTGTAAGTGGCCCTGTGTAGACTGCAGAACCGTCCTTCTGTCTGTGCAGTTGTCCTAGGGCCACTGTATGTTCTTTTTTTTATTTAAATTTTATATTTCCACTGTCTGTCTGTTTCACAGATGGCTTTTTCGTACGCTCTGATTAAGTATGATACAGAGAAAGAGGAGCCGGTCAGGGACTCCAGAGGGTTTTGTATCAAAGTCCCCCCAGGTGAGACTGTCAATGTCAGAAATGAATGTCTTCTTCCGAGACACCTCCTCATAGATGCCGTAGTTGAAGCGCGGTGTGTCTATCTGTAGGAGAGACCGGTTTATTTGTGGCAAAGATCGGAAAAAGAGCGCCTTTCATTGGCTACGCCAAGAACAAGCAGCAGACAGAGAAGAAGAAGCTGAAGGACGTGTTTGTGAAAGGAGACCTTTACTTCAACAGTGGTGACCTTCTTATGATAGACCGTGAAGGATTCATCTACTTTCAAGACCGCATTGGAGACACCTTCAGGTGAGATGGTGGAACAGTACAAACACATTTTAATGATATAGAACATTTACCCATTTACCCACTGTGGCCAGACACTGACTTTTATGTAGGACTGGATCAGGTGAACCCGAGTTATCCTTTAGTTATACTATTGCATGCCTAGACTGCTGGGGTAACTCCCATGCTCAACTGCAGGATTCGATTAACACTACTGTCGTTATTACTAATGTAAATTTACTTGACTTGATTGGACGGCACCTGACCTGGACATGACTTGACTTGTTTATCTTTTTGACACTTTTTTCTCTATTTTCTGCCCTCTGCTTGACTTGTTTATCTTTTTGACACTTTAATTTTTCTCTATTTTCTGCCCTCTTTTGTAGGTGGAAAGGAGAAAATGTGGCAACAACAGAGGTGGCAGATCTTTTACAAACAGTGGACTGTATTGAAGAAGCCAACGTTTATGGCGTCAAAGTGCCAGGTACTCATGCTGCTGTGTGAAAAACATGTGCTTTTACTGCATCTGTAAGCACTGATTCAAGCTCTGTCAGTATCAGCTTAGAGTAAAAACAAAGCATTTTATAGCGTAGTAAGAAAATATCGAGACTGAAATATCGCGATATTTCGTTTCACAATATAGTATCGATATTCTACAGTACTGTATCGATTTTTTTTATTAACAATTATCATGCAAATATTTATGACTCAATACTCAATATATAGTCGTGCCTATAGTATTGCAGAATATTGCAATATATATTATATCGCTACCCCTTTATGATGACACGTATCGCAACGCCAGATTCTTGCCAATGCACGGCCCTAGCATTCATCCTAATCATCTGATTGGTTTTCATTGTGTTAATCAAATCAAACGCTCTCTTTGTTTGTGACTGACAAGGTCATGAAGGCAGAACAGGGATGGCATCACTGAAGCTGAGGGGAGACATGACCTTTGACAGCAAGGCTGTTTATCAGCATATAAAAAACTACCTGCCCAGCTACGCAAGGCCACGCTTTATTCGCATACAGGTAAACAGAAACTTTCTTAACGGAATGAAAATGACATATTAAAGTATTGTTCTTTTTTACATTAATTTAATCAATGTTCTTAAAGAGAGATCTGGAGGTGACTGGGACCTTTAAGAAAATGAAGGTAAAGTTGGCAGAGGAAGGCTTCAACCCTGCTGTCGTTCAGGACCCTTTGTTCTTCTTGGAGGATAATAAAGGCTACGTGCCCATGACTAAGGAAATTTACAAAGCCATCACAGATGAAATCATCAGGCTTTGAAGGACGTCTGGATCATCTTCATATCGTACACCGTTCTTAACTACTATCACTGTCAAGTATTTTTAGTGAATTTTTATAAGTTTAACAGAACAGAAACCAAACGACACAGCAATCCCACCCCAGACATGTGCAACAAATGTGTGCAGCCCAAAAAAAAAAAAGAGCTACTGTGATAATGCAAAATCCCCAAACTACAAGGCGGTCATGGACGTTTTTGAAAAGTGATTTTAAAAGCAAATCTCTCAGTTGCTTTGGTATATAATTTAGAAAGGGAGAACAAATGCTCCTCTTTCTCCTTCACGATTGTGTACAGCCTTTCAGTATTGAAAACCTCTTCGTACCAAAGGGTGCTATTGGCTGGATATTTTTTTAAATCCACTTATGCAAGATGCATTTTCGGGCTATCAAAAATGAAGAAATCAAGAAGAAAACACAGATGAACCTACACCTGCAGGGAAGTCAGGATTTTGAGTTGTACGGGCAAAGACTCGTTTTTCTTCTTCCGACAGGTTCAGACATATCCTGCCAAGATCCTAATACTGTTGTATATAATAGGATTTTTTTTAACCACAGTTATTTTTGTTACCATGTTCCAAAGACAATGTGGAGAACATGCCCATGAATCAATGCAAGTCTCCTTCCTGAGATATGGAATTTCATTTTAATAAAGACTTTGTGAACATCTTACTTGTATCGTTTCTGCGAAAGCGAGATGTAAATGGGACGCTTTAGCACAGGAAGTATAGCAGGATATTCCATGAGTTTCTATTGTCACCATGAGAATGTAATGACAACAATAACCAATGATCCTGTACCTATGAGGTAGTGTGCAAGTGAAAAATATATTATACAAAATGTGTTAGAATGTCTTCAAAAATAAACTGCAGATTCATAAAAAGTCAGCCCTTAGCATTTCCCTTAGATTGAAATCCTACATTTATCTGTAGTGACACATCTAACGTCTTTAACTTTCCCATTCCCAGAGTGGAGAAAAGTATATGGAGATATGACAGTAAATGCAGCTCTAATGATTTTAGTTACCAAGAAAAAAAGTTTGACCTACAAACACACAATTTCTGCACATTCTTCCTTTGACCAACACCATTTAATTTCATCACTAATCTACTGTAGTGCCAGAATCTTCACTGGGGTTTGGGTGCAGAGTGGACTTCTGTTGGAGTAGTGGGGGGCGCTACACCGGCTCCCATGCACCTGAAGGATGGATTTTCCTGAGCTGCTTGTGAAGGCGTCTTGGGGAAGCACATCTGCTGCCGGCCACACTGCACCAGCTGGTGGCAGAAAGTGGGGACACTGTGAAACTTGGTCAGCTTCTTCAAGACCTCTTGGCCCAGAGGATTTTCAGTAACCTTCACTCCAGCACTGGATCCTGTTTTCACTGGCCTCTGAGGTGGTTTGGCAGCATCACTTTTAAATCCTGGCCAAACATCATAGCTGCAGCTGAGAGAACGCTGCGTTTTCCTCGATACATTCCAGTCCTTTTTAATAAGCAGCTCCCACTGAGACTCCTCCAGCCTGAAGGTGGCACCACGTTCATTTTGGTCGTCTTCTCCTGATGCACCATCTTCCCTTGGTTTGGGTTGGACTGTCACTGCCTTATCATTGTTCTCTGGCTTATCTGCCAGAAGAGCGGAAGCCATTTTGGAGATGATGCCCCAGTCTTTGAGGATGTCATCTGCAGTAGTGAACTGTGAGGTCACAGTGAACCGTATGATGCGTTTATTATTTATTTCTGCGGGGATGAGGTACATGGTACCTGCCCGGGTTATTTTTTTCAACAACTCCTGGGTTAAAGCGTTGCCTCCCTACAAAATACAAAATATGTTAAATGGTCATCCAGGGTAATTATGACTAAAATATGAACCATTGTATACTAAAAGAAGTAGCATCAATATTAATTATTCACTGATAATATGCTAAAATGTACTATACTAAAATAGGAATACAAATCCAAAATAGTTAAAATTTTGTGAAGAAAATGACAAATAACAATCAGCCAAAAGTATATCAGAGGTAGCAAACATAGTTAGCAAAATATTAACCTCAAACTAGAACAAAAAAGCCAATAATAAGTTACAAAAAATTTTAAAACAGCATAGTAGCATTGTAGCTACAATGCTACTAAACCAAAGCTTATCCCCAAATCAGCAGGTTGGCCATTAAAACTAAATGATATTGTAATATTAACCAATAAAAACAGCTAAATCATCTCCAGGCAGTTAATTATGAAGACTTGAACTCTAGCAATAAAATAAGACAAATAAGTTAGCTAACTTAAGTAGCTGTTGATGAAGACCTGCTGTGTACTTTCTGTCTTAAACTATTATCTATTTACTGACTTTTTATCCTCATATAACGGCAAATTAAAATACAACATAATTTAAATATTTAACTTTTAAAAAGACTTTACTGATTTGACACTGGTATACCAACTTTGAGACAGAAGACCACCAGGCCCAGGTGCCTCTCTGCAGGTACTTCAAATTTGGGATCATTCCTAATTTGAGACTCTAGGAGCTTTGCCATCTCGATGCCCTACAGAAGAGGACACGTGGGAATAAGAATTGGATTTAATGATTTTATAAACACTGGAATAAATAAAATAGCTTTAATGCTTCTATAGAGAAGAAGACGCTGCCTACGTGTCTAACGTGAGCCTGCAGTTTTTTCAGTCCAAAGGAACGCATGACAAACCAGAGTTTGAGAGAACGAAAACGGCGGCTCAGGGGAATTTGCCAATGCTGGAAAGCGGTAAGAATCACACAGATGTTAGAACTGGACAGAAAACACAGCATAAGCTGTCGTAAAAGGAAAACATCTATTGTCCTACCATGAAATCCGTGGCTGCTTGTGAGTTTTCATGTCGCAGATAAACTGGATCAACACTGAAGGTCTGCTGTAGCTTGTATTTGTCTCTGACCCTGAGAAAAAAAACAAACAAGTGAAAGTCTAGAAGTCAGATCTAAATGTACAAAAAATGAATGCACAAGAAGCAGTGGTTCTGAAAGTGGGGGGGGGGGCATCCAGTTATTACAATGTTTGCACTTCTTTTGTTAACACCTTGTGACGTGTCATGTGACTCGCTAATTACCAGAACGCTGTGCAGTCAAAATGGACCATCATCCACTTGGATGGATTAAAGACGAAAGAGTGGGCCAAGTCGATGCCCTCCAGGGACCAGCGTAGCTCGGGACAAAAGTAGGCCGTGCCAGCGTATGCAGCGTCGACATGAAGCCACAGTCCCTCCTGTTGACCTGCGAAAAAAAAACCCCCACTTCCATTACAAATACTGCAATCGTGAAGTGAGATGCTGAACACAAGATGAACACGGTCAACCAAGGTCAACTGCAATCGACAGACATACACACAGGTCCCAGTTCTGAGAGCTTGTCGAAGGCACACACTGCTGTAGTTCCTAAAGTGGCACAGAGCTGAAGAGGAGAAAAAAATATATTCATTTAAAAACTGTCACTCTGATGTGTATGTACTGACAAATGTACGTATGGCTCATGCGTGATTCTACTGTGTAAGCAAAAATGTCAAACATACGGCCCATGGGCCAAAACCGGTCCGCTGGGGGACTTTTTTTTCTGGGGACCCATATTTTAAAAGTCACAAACTTTTGCGACCCAAGTCGATCGACATTATTCGTAAACTTCTGGTAAACATGATGCGAGATGACCCAAAAAAAACCAAAACTCTTGCGACCCACATGAGGGTCGCGATCCAGTCTTTGGGAACCACTGCGCTAGGGGGTTCACTCTGGCCCACTTGATGAATTTTGAAAGTGAAAAATTCGTGGTGTTTAGTCTAATTCTATTTCATTAAATATGAATATTAACCAATATACTTGAACTTGTTGGCAGGAAAACAAGGGGTTTGTTATTCATAGGTAAATATGCTATGATGGTACTGGTCCGGCCCACTTGGCATCTAATCAAGCTGTATGTGGCCCCTGAACCAAAGTTTGACACCCCTGTTCTAGTGATTGATATTCCCAAAAAGGTCGGTGGCTGGATTTGGTGCAAAATTATGAATTCATCGAAACAGAATCTTAGGCCAATCGGTATATTTCTAGCTAAAACACTAACGATATTTAGGACGGACTGTCGGTACTGTAAAGCACAAGTATCATTCCGTTTGGGTCCTCACCATGAAAGGAACCAGTCCATTCCTTCTGTCTTCAAGTATGGCTTGCTTCAAAGTGTCTCCTCTCAGAGAGAACTGGTCATCAGTGGATAGGAACCTGACCTTGACCAGAGCGATCAGACCCGCCTTCTCCACTGAAGAGTGAGCCTGTGGAGACGACGCAGACTTACTTCACCTTGACTCCGTGGTGACAACCTTACGAATGACTCAGTTCCACTGACCTGGTCGGAGGCGTAGGCCACCAGTCTTGCATTGAGAACAGATTCATCCACTTCCTGGTCAAGCTCAGCCTGCAGCTCCAAGATTTTATCTTTCCTGGCTGCCAACAGAGCGATCAGTGTACTTTCACTGACTGTACTCTAAAAAAACAAATAAACAAACAACATAGTACAGTTGATTGCGGAATTCTGAAATGAACTTGTTTGTTTGTTCAGTGACCGGGGTCCAGGCCCCAGATGACTCAAACTGACTTGAGGACGTGAGTCTAATCACAAGTGCTTGGATTAAACTGAATTGACATGGACTTGATTAGAAGTTGAGATGCAGCCATTCCCTCCAGTGACTTGGACTTGAAACCAGGCTCTTCTTCGACTCACGATTTGACTTGAGAATATGACTTGGATGTGATTTAAATGAAGCTCAGTTTAACAAACACGTCAACACTTTTCACAAAAAGCAACCACACAAAATCATACAAAAAAGTGCCGTCCTCTGCTTCAAACCAGTTCTGAGCACTATCATGGTACTTTTCTTTGTGGATATTCTCAGTCATCCAGGTCATCATAATATCATGGTACTTTATTGAGGTTTGTTTTGTTACCTGCAGGATTCCTCCACCTCTGCTGTCTGGATGGTAATGCAAGAAGACATTTGGCAGCCCCAGTGCTTTACACAACCAGTCCATCACATTCATTTCCAACTCTGTGGAAGCTGGACTTGCAGCCTGTGCACAAAGACATGGGCCCGGAGCTGAGCACGGTTGACTGTAATATCTCTGTGGGCTTGAGTTTAGGAAAGATCATCGACTTACCCAAGTGAATCCGACACAGTTAATGGCATCAGCCAGCATTTCCCCAAGCATGGAGGGCCACGAGGTCAGGCAGGGGTAGTAGGCGTGCATATGTGGGCTCTGCCAGTGAACCACCTGCGGAAAACAATGAGGGGATGAGTCAAAACATTCTAAAAAAAACTGAACAGAAGTTTTTTATTTATGAAAGTTCAAACATTAACTTGGTAAATGGACTGCTGATGTGTTGGAAATTTTAAATGCTTGTAGACAACTTACTTGTTGTACTAGTGTCTTCTGTTATCAAGATAATCTGTTATGGCCGTACCCAAATATCATTATTAAATATCTTTGAAATTAAAACATCCATCTTAGAGAAGAAACTAATTCACCTACTTTAGAAAAATAATTTCCCTGTACAAATGTCTTTTTTTACCCCACTGTATATTTTTGCAAAACCTAATAAAAACTTGTAAAAACAAATTAAAACTATTTACCACCTGTTTATCAAGGACATCAAACCTATATTACACCTTAAAAATACAATACATAATAAACGTATTATTATATGGACACAATCGACACCTTAAAAATACAATACATAATAAATTATTATATGGACACAATAAATCGATAATAAACCAAATTATAAATGAACCAAACATATTGTAGATATGGATCTATGAATGGTAGTTTTTTGGTAATTTGTAGGTCACTCTTCATATCCCAGCCACATCTGATAGTTGTCTGGTTTTGATGGTGCCGCTGCAGAGGTTCTAGGTTAGGACTAAATCAGGGGCGTTTTGCATTGCAGACGGCAGGTGACAGCATGAACTTACCCCCGGCATTATGACTCTCTCGATATCTTTGAAGATACTCTCCCAATCCTCAGCTTCCACAGGGGCAGTGTCCGGGATCAGCTGCCTCATGTAGTCCGGTGCCACGTCTGGAATGACTTTCCTCTCCCTGATGGAGACCAGGTACTGAGTGATGTAATCCACCAGCTCCTTACCTGCACAGACACAGACACAGAAAACAGCCAAGGTAAATGAATGGTTCAGAACTTTTGATCATTCTTGTCATTATATTTACATGCAACAACGACAAAGACAGACTCAGACCAAAGGGAAGCATTGATTACCTCTGCGGTTGTATTCTTCAGCCTGCATTGTTGTTTTTTTACAGGGGGTTTGTGTCTGCAGTAAGCTGTGTGACCTCGGTGGCTGAGATGATCACTCTTTATAGACCTCATTGTGAACAACACGCCCACAGTGGGTGACGCGTTGTGTGCGAAGTTGGGCTCTTGACAGTGGTATACTCACCTAGGCCTCAGTGGCGTCCTGCCTGAACAATTCCACACACTAATGACTTCACTTTGTCTGTAAAAGCCATCAATATTATGCAGAAATGTAGTATATTGACTCGTGACGTACATCCCAGATAAGTCATGTAGCCATAATAACGCCGTTACAAAAGCAACAAACCCAGGAATTAATATTCAGCTATAGCTGCCACGTAATGTACTTCAAAAAGTATAACAATAATAACATCATACAATTACAGTGTTATTAAAAATACTAAAAGCATTTACTTAGAAACACTTAGTTAGCCATCCCAATCGCTTTCCTTAAGATGATTATCCGTCCGTCGTAGAATTAACACGTTTTTCTTTTCTATCGTCATCCACGATAAAAGTCCTCGTCGTCGTTGTAGCATACGTTTCGATTGGCTTTAGGCTGAGAATGTCCGTTCAACGGTGGTCTGAAGCAGTGGACGGAGAGAAAACTTGATTTTCCAGCGTCCATGTCGCTCGATGAAGTTTGGGAGATTCAAGATTGTGTGTTCTTTGACCATCCAATCAAATCACTCAAATCGCCAACGTAACCGCCGGCCAGCCAGAAGGTCTTGTTTGATGCCAACCCAAAATCTGATTAGTAAAGAAACAACGTTCATTGCGGTTCCTTATAGGTTTATAGCGCTGTGGTAAATAAATCAGCATTTCTTATTTGGAATTACTTTTGGGAACAAGCTTGAGGGCAGATTTTTTTCATGTAACTACTGACTCATTTTAAAGGAATTAATTAATGCTGCATTATTGTGAACCCAACACCATAATTAGTATCTCCAGTGAGCCTTTAGTTTAGTTCTATTTGGGGCAGTGGTGGCTTAGTGGTTAAGAAAGCGAACTTGGGTCTGGAAGGTTTCAGGTTTGAGTCCACCATATGCAAAGATACCCCTGAGGTGCTCTGAGCAAGACACTGTCCCCACACCCTGCTACACAGGCGCTTAAATCTGCCCACTGTTCACTTGGATGATGGGTTAAAAGCAGAGGGCACATTTTGTTGTGTGCAGTGGTGTGCTGTGTCACAATGTAAAAGTATTTCACTTTCCTTCCTTCCTTCCTTCCTTCCTTCCTTATTTTGTTTAGCTGGTAGTTGAGGTTTGGGGTTGGTCTCCACTTTGGTGGTGCCCACACCAAACTGCTTTCAAATGTTATTCCCAGGTTTTTCTGCAATGTTTGATTACAATGTTACTAATCTGACAGATGACCCAAATATCTACTTCAAATACACCACAGGGGGTTTAACTGAGTAAGGTTAAACAGAGAATTAAAAAATGTGTCATGTTACCCAAATATCTACTTAAAATACACCACAGGGGTTTAACTGAGTAAGGTTAAACAAAGAATTAAAAAATGTGTCATGTTATGCAAGCAAAGTCAGTAATGCGTTATCAGATCTGTTATTCATGCCTTTATACCCTGACCAAGTATTACAAAAAAATCACCTACAATGTTTAATGTCAGGCACTGAACATTGGCTTTGCCAAAGGAAAGAAAACACAGAAGAAACACTGTAACGATTGTTTCTACGTCCGTGTGACGTCTGGCAGTCTGATGAAAGCAAGTTTAACCATAATTGTGCAAATGGAGTTTAAGGCAGAGCGCTGTGACATCAAAGTCAAAGTGCATCATGATAGCCTGCTGTTTTCCTGCTTTTATTCAAATAAAAACGTCAACAATACAACAAAGAGCACCTAGATCTTCAGATTGACATAAATAAAAATAAAAAAACCCACAAAACAGAAATGACAAGCGGAATGTGTGAACTAAGAAAATAACTTAATTGTTAGAGGCTTGATTTTAAGATGGATAATAAAACAATAATCAGCATAAAGTGGTTTTTCAGGCAAGGCTAGGATTTAATGTGATAATTAAGTTTGACCATTTCAGTTCCTACACATTGGGAAATAACATTTTAAGTCTGTTGTTGCTATCATCTTTGACATGTGTTTATGTTTTAAAAAGAAACAGAATCAAGTTTTTAGAATTGAGTACAGACGTCTTTTGACTGGGGTAAAAATTCTGAATACGATTTCAAATTAAATAAATAAAAATGTTTTAAATGTGTTTGTCTTTATCTTTTATTTTTAATAAAAAACAGGAAAATGGTATTGATACAGAGTTTGCAAATACTGTACAACATAATGATGGTTCTCATTATATTACCAAAAGCAAGCAGGGACATGATATCAAAACGAAATTCACTAAAAAGTTCAAAGGCAGATAAAAATTCATATGGGAGCATTAAAGGCAGATTCATTTTCAGGTAACTATATTATTAAATTCTTAAAAAGTCATTGACATCATAGTTTATAGTAACATTTGAAATATTTGCTCTCATATATTCCTCCATTGGCACTGATAGTTAAAACACAGTCAAGGTCATAAGGGTTTTTTTTATTAAAACCTCTTTACATTGGTGGCAATAATGCTGGTACATGGTGTCGCTAGTGATCATCATAGAAGAAGAACAGGACCGAGTGAGAAGGCGGCGAAGAAGAAGGGGAAAAAAGATCAGGAAGTAGATGTCAAAAGTGGCTACATTACAGGAAACGGCTATATTTTAAGGTATTTTTAGATTTCAAAGTTTGGTTTGGACAACAGTGTCTCTGTCTTATTTGTGTCACAATATCCTATGTTAAAATGTGTTTTTCACTGCGCATGACGTTGTTGTAGCGAGTGCACTCAACAAATGTTTAAGTGCGTGAGCTACTTAGCATGCTAACTAGCTGTAGCTTTGTAGCTTTTATGCTTAGTTTTGCGTTTCGTTTTCTGGTGTCCTACTTTAAGGTCAGTTATCATTTTTAAATTTTAATTTTGTTGGCCATGTACACGGTTATGTTGAAGGGCTTTCAAAAACATTTTGTTGACCTAGCTCATTTTACTTATTTTTGGATAGCTCACTGCAAGCTCACTAATGTTGTCAACTAGTGAAAGCTCCACTGACAGATTTGATGTCACGAGTATATGTGTCGTGTGTTTATTTAAAGTGAATTACTATTACACGGTTACATTAAACCGTGTCCGACAAATAATCGAAAGCTACTCGCTGTCGTAAAGTTATATTTAAAAAAATCCTTGCTGTCGTACGTCCTCAGGCGTTTACAAACATAACAGGTAGAAAAACACAACAGGCAAAGGTCACCCGGCTCCCATGTTGCGTACAAATTAAGTTTTTAGCGTTACAAAGCTAATATATATTTTTCGAGTTGTGAGCCTTAAGACGTTCATCTTTGCTCGGACAAGTTGAACATTTTCTTGTATATAAAAATGTAAATGACTAAGTATGCCCCTCGCCAGTAATTTTATATATATGTGTGTGTGTGTGTGTACGGATAATAATTTCTCAGTCATGTCTCTGTGATATGTACGATATGTATGATGAAGTAGTAATGAAATTTAAACAATCACAGAACAGAAAAATTAAACAATGTCCAAACACTACAATACTGTCTAAGAAACAAACATTCGAAATATGAGATTTGAAATGTTCCAAAACAGAGGCAGCTGTGTCTATTACAATGATATAATAATAATACAATATTAAAGGTCTTGTGTTGTAATATGTCCAAAGTAATTGTTGTATTAAAAATGAAGAGCATGCAGGAGTTCTCTCTATAGTTGTTGTTACTTCACCAGAACAGTTTAGCTGAAAACTAACAATCAGCAGCTTTATGGAGAAAAATAAACAAAAAAATAATCAAATAAATAATGCACCCCAGCTGTAGGGACAAATGACTGAAGTGCA